GCAAAGCTTCCTTTTGTAGAAGGGTTCTCCTGACCTTTTCATTGTAGTTCATACAGGATGTAGTCCTGAGGGTTTCTTTTCAGTTTTGTGAGCAAGTATGCAGCTGATAGGAAAATGATGTTTATTCCAAATACCCAATGCATATTAGGAATCCAATAATTTAATTTATTGATATGTTAAGTTCCTGTTTACAGTGTGTAATATGATAAGAACCTTGTGACAAATGACAAAACCACTGAGATATCAAGGAAGTCGAAGCAGAATCCCAGGAAAGCGAACACATGTGCTGTCCGTGCAGGCAGTACGTGCGTATGGAGCATGCTGCAGGCCTGCGACTAGACTGCCTCGGTGTGTTCATTGAGGTCAGTATTTTATTTTATAAAGTGTTATAGGCATTTGCCTTGTAGTTCATCCAAAAATTTATTTGTATTGTTGTTCCGTAGCCTAAGAACACCAATAAACTGTCAATGTTTCCAACAGTCAATGTTGACATTTTCTTTTTGCAGTTTCTGTGGTTCTAGTGAGCCACAAATAAACATGCTCACAGGCTGTCTATTTGTTTTGTTCACTGTGCAGCTTGGCATGGGATTGGTGACTCGCATGACTAGCGGGGCTGCTCTTTCCATGATGGCCTTGCGGTTCTTAGAGGAGAGGATCTGAGCAATCTCTGTGCAGCAAATATTTGTTGTACATCGGCAGCACCTCCAGCTCCTAACACCGTGCTCCAGGAACTCCTCGGAGCCACTGGCCACATGTGCTTTGTCTTTCTGTTACTTGCATAACCTGTGTCGTGCACCAAGATCTGGGCCGTGAACCTTCTCCACACCCTGTTCTCGATTCCTCTGTGTTTCTGCCAGTTGCACTTAATTTTGGCATTTCTTTCTGCCTGGTGCCAGATGAACTTCTTGGTCCTCTTTTTTGACAATCTTGGGCATCACACAATGTCTGAGGGCTACCATAGTGCCAAGTTTGAGATGGCTGCTCAATGTTGAAAGTTTTGATGCTTATTTATATGCACTCTGTAAATACTAAAAATTTAAAAAGAAAAATATCAAAATTCATGTGTCCTACATGATTGAACGAAAATAAATGCATTTTGAGATTTTGCACCTACTTTCAGGGCAGCCTATTTGTCATTTGGGGGTTCTTTTTGAGACAGCATTTCACTATGAAGTTAGGACTCGCCTAGTACTCACATTCTATGACATGCTGGCCCAAACTCAGTGATCCTCCCGTGGCAGCCTCCTGAGTCCTGGTGCCACAGGTTTGCCCACCACGCCTGGCCTTATGTGTCTTTCCTTGCTGCCATGGCCTCACTTACTGCTGGGCAACGTGAGCATCTTACCCTGCAGAGCTGCACCAAACTGGCCAAGAGGCGGCGACCCAAGTGATCCCGATGTCTCTCTGGGGCATCTTGAGAACCGCATGAGAGTCAGCTAAGTGAACCAGTCTGGTTGCTCTGACAGGATTAGCCAAGCCTAGCAGAGGGGGCTGCTTGTGAGAGTGCAGCGAAAGGCTGGAGAGGGAGAGCGTGGGAGGAGGCCAGGCCTGGGCAGTGAGGACTCTGTGTTTCTCACCTAGTGCGGGTGCTCACAAGACACGAACGCTTTTGTTCTCCTCACCTTCATTGTCAGTCTGCGTGGGGAAAGCTGCACGTGCTCTCTCCAGCAACAGTGAGAACACCCCTGTACCCGTCATTCCGACACTGCATTGCAAGAAAAGTATCGCCAGGGTGACATGTGACATGTGATGGCTGTGAGAATATGCAAAGCAAATTAGATCTCTGAGGCCCTCTTTTAGTTTCCAAACTATCTCGCCTCAGTCCACGTCTGCAGCTCATGTGAGGGCATTCATCTCGGGAGCAGGTCCACGCACACAGCACATCTGCACCCCTGTCTCAGCCCTTCCCCTCCCCAGCCTGCATTCCTCCCTCCACCTGAGGGCCTCTGGAGCCTTTGCACGTCAGTCCCCATGTGCTTCTCTCTGGGTTTCATTTTGCTCCTCAATTTACCTATTCTGTGGCTTGTTCACGGAAGAGTCTCCACAGTCACTGTTTTGTGTTAAACTACAATCATTTGGAGGGTGGTACAACTTTCCATGGCATAAGTTGGTGCCCTCCATACTCCATTTGGACTCAAGCCATGCAGCTGAGGAGTCTTCCACCTGGCAGGTGTTGAGCCTTTCCAGCTCGGAGCATTCTCGCTGAGCAGCTTCCCTCATCCCGAGTCACCTGGTCGTTTTTCAGTGAGGAAAGTCTTCTGAAAGCAAAGGTGGCGATGGCTGCACAAGAGGGTGAACACAGTGAAGGCCATTATCCTGTACCCTTCAGATGCATGAGTTAGGCTTTCTGTAGATTACAGTTCTGTCAAATGGTGAAATACATGGGAATTAGACATCAGGGACGGTATGCATTTAAAAGCACAACATGAGAGCTATTCGACTCTGGTTGTTACATTGCACATTACTGCACGTTGCTGTCCTCCATATAGTTGCTCAGATTACAGATAGTAGCACATAGAGTTAGTTGAAGTACAAAATTTAAACATTGACTGCTACTTTGAAAAAACTGAGAGAAATAAGTGGTACAATTGTCTCAGCTACCCTGTAGATATACTTCCAGGATTTCCCCCTCCATTCTTCCTACCTTCTGTCCTTTCCCTCATCTCCATTGTTTATTCTTTTCAAAATTTTTTATCATTTTATTTTTTAAAGAGAGTACAAATTAGAATCAACACAGAAAAGATCACAATTTATGCAGATTTCATTTAACAAAGGAATATGAAGTTTACAGCATTTGCTGTAATACACAGGGTTGTCTTCTAACCAGTTATTCATATTACCAGATATATGCATGTATAAGTTGGAAGAAGAAGAAAGAAAAAAAGAAAGAAATGTGTAAGAAAATAAGATGAAAGGGGGAAAAATTGAAAAAGGGAGATGAAAGAAATTAAAGCCTGTACTGCTCCTTTCCACAGACTACCAGAAATGCACAGTTTATTTGCCCAAACTATCCTGCTTGCATAGATAGCTAAATCTCTTTCCCCCTCTCCCTCTCCTGTCCTTCTCCTCAACTCAGTTACTCTTTCCTTTTGAATAAGTTCACTCCCATTTACCACTGTCTATTGTAGCCTTCAGATTCCATTTTTGTCTTTCAGGTTCTCACTCTAAGGAGACCCTATGATGTTTGCACGTGCTGGTCTGATTTATTTCACTTAAGAGTATATTCTCTAGTTGCATCCATTTACCAACAAAAGGCTCAAATTTATCCTGTTTTATAGCTGAATAAATGCTCCATTGTATACAAATACCACATCTTCCTTATCCCTTCGTCAGTTGATAGGCATCTGGGTTGTTCCAGCATTTATCTACGAGGAATTGCGCTGCTATAAACATGGGTGCACATATATCACTGTGGTATGAGGTTTTCAGTTCTTCTCGAAAAATATTCAGGAGAGGAACAGCTGTCTTGAATGGGACCTCCAGTCCTAGCTTTTAATGAAATGTCCACATTGATTTCCATAGTGGTTGTATCAGTCTGAACCCCCAGCCATGGTGCAGAAGGGTTCCTTTTTTTTAAAGTTTAATTTTATTTTGAATTTGACCCAGAACACAGACCAGGCCAGGTGTGTGAGTGGTTCCGCCCAGGGTCCGCAGGATCCTGATTTGACCCAGAGCCTAGGCCCAGTGTGAGACTGCCCGGGGCCCACCAGATCCTGATTCAATCCAGAGCCCATGCTCGGTGTGCGTGGGTCCACCTGGAGCCTGATTGATCCTCATTCCACCCAGAGCTCAGACCTGGCGCGAGTGGGACCAACTAGGGCCCGCTGATCTTCATCCGAACCAGAGTCCAGGCCAGGCACGTGAGTGGAACTTTCTCCATCAGACAGACCTGGTGTGAAACCCTGCGGCAGAAGTCCCTGAAGAGAGGCTAAAGGCAAAACCCACCCAGCTGATCCAGGAACAGAACATCTTGCCAGCATAGCACAGCAGGTTCAGCTCCAAGGGCTGGAGCAGGAAGAAGTGGAGCACAGCAGCCAGAACCAAGCCACACCCACCTGCACAAGTTTGACCTTGGTAGATCCAGACTTGGTGCTAAGATAATAACTCTATCAAAGCTCTACAACAAAAGTCAGAAGACAGTGCTATACAAAAATGACAAAAAGAAGGAGCAAAATGCATTCTCAGTCCCTTAGCCCACCCAGAAAAAGTGCAGGAGACAATAGCATAAAAGAAATTAGAAATACACACCTGAAATCTCTGAAATAATAGCATGTGAAGTAAAGAAATAACTGCAGAAAGGAATAGAGGAAATCAGATCAGAAGTAATTTCTGAAGTAAAAAAAGAAATAGCTATAATGAAAGAAGCACTAAGTGCTTCTAAAGAAGACACTGATAAAAAATAGAGCAGAATCAAAAAAATGATGGAATCCTTGAATGAGCCATATAGGAAAGAAATAGAATGCATGGAGCACATTTAAAGTGCTATAGAGGATATTAAAACCTCAATCACAAGCTGGCAAAACCGTTTGAATGAAAGTGAAAATAGGATGCTTGTCATGGCTGACAGCGCCATGCAGCGTCCAGCGGGCCTCAGGCCTGCGCTGTTGGTGCCTCCCGTAGGAGATACTAAAACAAGTGCCTGGAGACAAGGTGATGCTTCTAGAAAGAAAGTGGAACTCGAAGTAGCTGTGAAAAAGAAGCTTGAGTTTGAGAGAAAAGCTCTACATATTGTCGAACAACTATTAGAAGAGAACATTAGAGAAGACATCCTAGTGGAACATGGGAAGTTCATGACACCTGCTCACTGCAGCGATGTTGTGGGTGAACGTTCAGTTACCAACTTCTGTGCTTATCCTTTCGGTCAGAAGAAGCTGGGCATCATACCAAGGCAGAAATATAAAACTTCTGCCAAACTCAATTAAGTTTATGATATTACTGAAAGAAAGTCTTTTTGCAGAAATTTTTGTTACAAAGCGTCTAAGTATTTTGAAG